TCCTACTCTGATCAGAATGAATGCAGCCAAAGTAAACCCCTCACAAAAGCCATATCATCTGTTTGACTGAGAGTTCGTCATCTACCCATCCGCCTTTCTGTCTGTAGTTTACAAGTAGAGAGTACAAGCTACTTAAGTCCCCAGTTTTGCCTTTTTTTTGATGCTATACAGTATCTAGCACATAAAGGACAGTATTTAGTACTTGCTTCTTGATTGAGCTCAAGAGCATAATTATAGAACAAATATTTTTATCAAGTAAAGGCCACAAGTGCTAAATTAAAAAAAAAAAGATCAAAGGAATATCAGGAGGGGTAAATGCCCTCCTTTCATTTTTATATCACTGAAAGCCAACACTTTTAAGCTCATTGCTTAGGTTGCTGGACCAGTGTAATGTCCTAAGACCTAAGGCTATCCAATTCAAAGGGAGCTTTAAATGCAGTTCTCTGAACAGCAATGGTTTGAAGTAGGCCTTCGGACTAAGGCCAGGGGAAGATGCTGGTCTCAGATCTCAAGTAAGGGATCAGTGTCTCCTAAAAGAGCCTGATATGCACTTCCTTAATTCCTAAGAGCTCATTTCCCGCTTACATAATGACTTTATTACAGTATTTGTTCCTTCATACAGTCAGAAGCCAGAGGAAGCAATGGAAGGATGGTGTTTATTTATTCGGAATTCACTGTCTCCTAACATTAGACTTAAAAGTTTAACATGTATCTAGTACTAGAAGCTTCCTCAGCTGTAGAATGGTAGGCTAATCATTTGCTAATGTTCACTCCCAGTTTCTTTTTCTGGTGTTATAAAATATTTTAAATAAATGCTCAAGTAGGATCAATTAAGGTAGAAATGCTCTCTTGATATTCAGGAAGCCTTTGACTCCTTAGTCACTTCTACAGGTGACCATACCCAGCTCTGGTTCCCCTCTTCCCACTAAAGAAGAGGGTCTCTCTCATGTGATGATGGGAGTCTGATGAGAAAATTTCCATAGCAAATATGTGGGGAAGAGGCAGAACTGTAAAACCTGGGAAGGGCCAGGGGTAGCTGACCCGGGGGCAAAATCCCAGGCAAGGCTGGCCCGCCTACGTGCCGACCAACCAACTCTAGGACTCAAAATAACCTTCCTCTAAGGCCTGCATTTCTCTCACTGTCTGTGCTATGTCGTGTGACTTGAAATTTAGAGCAATGTCCTGGCAGAACTATGGCAGAATGGAGTTCTCTGGGTGCCTGGGAAGGAGCCATTGGAAGGAAGGTGACAACTCACATGTACAATCTGTATTTATGGACCACAAACGTTCTGAAGCAATATCTCACTTAATTCCCAGACAGTTTAATATTATCCCTATAGTACAGATGAAGACTAGGATATAAACTCCATTTGATTTGAACATGTCAGCTTCTGTTCTTAGAACCTCAGTGATTTCTTTTTGCTCTATACTTCCCATCTGTAGATTATTGGTACCTAAAGTAGAGATTCTAGCCTGGTGATGTCATGAGTTTCAGTTTGGATACCTCATAGTTTATGTATGCGGGCTTCTATGAACTAGCCTAAGATACCTTGACATAAAAGATTGTTTCTATAGGAAATTCTATGACCTGCTACCAAAATGGTGGGCTATAATCTTAATGGATTAGAATGAATTGGGAATTAGTTGTAATTACAATTTAACAATGCACTGCTCAGTGTCTCTCTTCTGGTTGGCCTTCAAGTTAAACTCACTCTATTACCCAAAGTTCCTTCCTGTTTAATTTTTTACACATACTCCAGATGTACATTCTCAGGAAAGATGTTCCCCGAGGATAGGGACTTAGCTATCTGTTAGGTGTGCCAGGTTATTCCCAGTATCCAAGGCACTAACAGGCATACATGAACTATTTACTGAATGAATATAGCACTGAAATTGCAAAAATTAAAATACATGTACTTTATGCTCTTAGCTGAAAAACAGATTCAGAGTTAAGAAATGGAATAAGACTATAGTGACTTACTCAATAAATAAGACTTCAATAAATTCAGGGAATCCTGTACAAGAGGTTTTAATTGTTAGTTGAAGGTCTTTCTTGCCCACAGAAAATCCATGTCAGTGGTTTGGGGAACCTGGGGCCCCAGCGACTATATGCTTGCGTCTCCCATCATGCATCTTACGCACTTTGGGCAAGTTACTTTACCTTTTTGGATCTCAGACTCAGAAAGGCTTCCTTTCAGCTTTAAAATGGTGAATTTCATCTTATAGATTCCTCATGCCTGCTGGGCATCAGTGGCTCAGGCCTGTAATCCTAGCTACTCAGGAGGCTGAGATCTGAGGATCAAGGTTCAAAGCCAGCCCAGGCAGGAAAGTCGGTGAGACTCTTATCACCAATTAACCACCAGAAAACCGGAAGTGGTGCTGTGGCTCAAATGGTAAGAGTGCTTGCCTTGAACTGAAAAGCTGAAGGACAATGCCCAGGCTCAGAGTTCAAGCCTCATGACTGACCAAAAAAAAAAAAAAAGAAAGAAAAACATTCCTCATGCCTGCTCTCACCAACCCCCCCATCTTAGAGCAGATAGTAGCAAAAGGAAATAAAATGAACAAAGGTAGTCAAGGAGAAAAGCCATACGTCCCCCAGTAAGCAAATTATAAGTCTCTGAGTTTAAACAAGAAGTCACTATATGGGGTGACAATGAGCCATTTACTTTTAGCCAACCTCCAGGCAAATAAGGTAGCCTATGGATCCTATTTGTTTAGTTTATAGTATAATGGAATAGGACTCATTTGTGCTGGAACTAGCAGGGCACATGCAATCTCAAGGGTGAGTGTCGAGTGGGTGCAGTCCCAGGTCCCCTTTGAAAAGCACATAATTAAGCTAAGGTCAATGTGATGACAGTTCTTTTGCTTAATCATTAAGTTCTAGGTATCTGAAAGGAACTAGAGTGAACTGAATTTATAGTACTTTTTATTTTCAAATGAAATGCAATGACTTAATGTTTTTCTACACCAGCCTTGGCCAGTTGCACCGTGTACAGTGTAGGATATAAATGTCAGCACTGTGTCAGGAGAGCGTTGACACTGGTTGAGTTTTAAAGCCTGCACACTATTTTTGCCTTTCCTGCACTGACAGCCTGCTACTGAATTGGACATACCTGGAAAGAGCTCAATTTGGCTTAGAATACAGCCCAATTTCTTTTTGTAATCGTTTCTCTTGTCATGCTTCTGCTAGAATAGTCTTCTCAAAGGAAAAACAAAATTGTTTTCTGATAATTTGAATGGTCAGAATCTTGTCCATTGGTGATTTAGCACCAACTTGGGAAAATGGAAGTGTTCCTCTTTCTCAACCCTAAATCAGTGAGCTAACTTGTTGGCTTTGTGGCTGGCTGTACAGTTCAGGAGTTAGAGATTTTTCTTATTCACTGACATTTTGGAGGAGAGGACCTCCCTCTATTATACACTTGTCTTCTATTCATTGAGTTCTATAGTAAGTAATTTATTCAAAGTCACAATGTTAGTTGAAAGCACAGTAACAGATCCAGGAGCCATTTTTTTCTCAAACAAGCTTAGATAGACAGGATATGGCAATTATCCCTGCAGGAATTAATCAGCTTTGTAATCAGACACTTGTTCTTTTCTCTCTCCACTGACATCTTAGGTAGAAAACTTGTTCCTGCCATTGTGTCCATGTCCCTCTGGCCTCTCCTATTAGAATAAATGCATGAAGACAATGTTTTTAATTTAACTTGGATCAGAGAACATTTATATACACTAGATGTGTGACTGAAACCGAAATCTTTAAATTTAGGATTATGCCAGTAATTGATGGAAAGTCTTGAATTTCAAAGAGTCAACCACATTCTCTTTCTAACACTAAATCACTCTTGAAACCCTAATTTGCCTTAGAAAAATACCATTTTCCCTCTTCCTGGCACTTTTTCAAGAAGATGCTTTTGTGGATGCAATTAAGCATGAAACGAGTACATCACATTTTATGGGTTGTTTCCTAGCCCAAGGCAGTGGAATCTGGGGGGTTCTGGGGGCATGAAGGATTCTGCTTCGGGGCTGCTTCTGCTATGGCAAGACCTCAGTATATTTTAACTAAAATAGCTAGAGGGTCATTACTAAGGAGGATAAAGGAGGGAGCTAGGGGGAAAGCGAGTAGATGGAGTTACCACCTGTTGCTTATTGGGAGTGTGTCAACTTTTCTACAGTTACCTTTGTTACCTAGAGACCCTGCAACAGTCTATATGTAACTTGTCATCTAGCATATGTCACTTTATGGAACAGATCATCTCTGAGAAGTGGAGGGTAAGTTATAGCAAATCACAGTTGACATGCTCTAATTGTTTCTGCTTGTAGCACACATTGATTTGTGACTGATAAATCACAGGCTTGATTTCTAACAAGAATAACTTGGTTTTCCCTTAAGAGTCGCTTTCTCACATGTGTCTACAGCTTCTCTTCCCCCCACCCCCGCCCTTTCCCTCAGCCTGAACTATTTACGTCTAAGGCTTCCTAGAACAGGAACTTTTCTGACACTGCCCAGATGCTTGTTCTGGAAATTCTGTGTTTTCTCTCTGGTTAGGTTTTGTGAATCCCCAGCTTCTCCCCTCATAGGCACGGTTTAAAGTGTCATAGTTTTCACAATTAACCACAGCCAAACATAAGAAGGACTACGGAAGGAAGGGGGTGGGGGGTGCGTGTGTGTGCATGTGTGTGTGTGGGGGGGGGGGGGGAAGAGAAAGGACCTGCGTGTCCGGAGAGGGAGAACCCGCGTCCATTGCAAGGAGATCCTCTTTTGCGGGACCAGCCGTCCCGCGTCCCTCGCAGGCCAGGCAGATCTCCTCTGCCCCCCCCCCCCCCGCCCCGTCACGCCCCACCCCGGGCAGCTGCGGGGCAGCCACACTCCCCTCGAGGGCCTTGCCCCGCGGTGGGGCGGGCTGCACCCAGCCTCGGGGGCGGGCCTGGGGTGCTTGCTTGCTTGCGTGCGGCGGGTGGGGGCACCCCGGGGTCCGCGCGGGGGAGGGAACGGTTCTTACAGTCAGGGCTCGGCGCGAAGGGCGCGCGGCGGCGGCCGAGGGAGCGGTCTTCGGCGGGCGCGTCGGGCAGCCTCTTAGCGGCGGGCAGCGGGAAGGCGGACGCGGTGTGGAGCAGCACCAGGCAGACAGCCACCACATCCCATAACTTCATCTTAGAGTCCCGTCCGGCGGCGGCACCTGCGCGGGCGGGCGGGCGGGCGGGCCGGGAAGGCGCGTTAGTGAGTGCGCTGCGGGCGCCGAGGGGCCGCCCCTCCCCACGCGCGGGGCCCGGCGCTCTGGCGTGGCGGCAGGCCCGCGCCGGGCGCCCCCTCGCTTTCCGTTCAAAGCCTCAGCTTAATGGCCGCAGCTGACCTTCTCGGCCACCCGGTCCCCAGGGGTCAGATGTTCCAGCAGGGGCCTCGCTTTCCCGCCGGCACGCAAAACTCCCCGGTACGGCGACGCTGGGCTTCCTGGCATCTTCCCCGTCTCCTCGCGTGAGACACCCCTGACCCCTGGCTTGCCATCTGGTCCCCACGCTGCGTCCTCCACCCGGAGGGGAGACCTTCCCTTCCCGGGCTGCCAGCCGCCCCACCGCCCCCCAACAGGCACCCCCTCCCAGCCGGGCCCCGCCGCCCACCCTTCAGCCCTCCAACCTCAGTAACTACTTTGTCCCCACGTCTTAAGGTCACCAACAGTAAACAGCGCGTGCCCGCCCCGGCGGGGTTTCGCCGTGGCCGTGGGGGAGAGGGTTGCCTGCTCTCGAACATTTGCACCCTACGCCCTAGCTCCGCAACGTTTGACTTGACTTGATGCTTGCAGTCTGGGGAGATTCCGGCCCCATCCCACCCCTTGAGGAGTCGCCGCCAGCGGCCTGCGCCTGGGTCACGCGTGACAACTGTCCCGGTCCCCGACCAGCGGAGAGGCGCGCGCCGGCAGCCCAGGAAGGCCTTAGACCGAGACGGTGAGGAGTCGGCTTAGTGCTCTTCAGCGAGGGGGACCCCTGCACTAAGGCCTCACACCCTGAGAAAGGAGGGCCGCGTGGTTGGGGGTGGGCGAGAAAAAGGCCCCGTGAACTTAGGCCAAGCCCTCAAGTGCAGGCACTTACAAATCTGGGTGTTCTAGTCCCCTGGGGACCACGGACCGGAGAACTCTCCAAGCAGATTCAAGATGATTATTTCCTACCCTGTCACCTCCCCCACCCAAAGCCCACCCACACGGATTCTTAGAGCAAACTCCTAGAATTGTTTCCTGGGGAAGGGAAAAACGGTGTCCAGGTAAATGCAGCCCCCCCTCCCGCCAACATCTTCTCTCTCTCCATCCCCCCCCCCCCCCCGTTAGTTTCTGGCTTCCTGGGGCGCTGGCCTCCCTTTCCCCGTCCTCCCTGTCCCATGATCCCCCCCATTTCCACCCAGAACTCCAGCGCCAGCCCCTGGTTCAGGCCACCCGGGAAAGCGTTTAATTGGGCCGCCACCTCCCACCGCAGCGGAGTCGAATGCATTTTCCATCCCTTTGGCGTCAGTGGTGCGCGCAGCTGTTGGGCTGGGAGACTGGGTAGCGCCCGGGAACTCCGAGGACCCGCGGCTCCGAGCGCCCCGGGCGGGGGAGCGAACCCACACGTGTCCGGGTCGTCTCTGGGGCCCGGCGCGCAGGCCCTGGAGAACGAGCTCCCAGGCCGCGCCGTGCGCGCCGAGCGCCGCCGAGGGGGCGCCTGGGCCGCGAGGCCTCCCGCCCGCGGGGTTGCCGGCTGTGCCAGCGCCCGGCTGCGTGCGAAATGGCTGGCGGGCCGGGCGGGCAGGGAGGCGCGGGGGTTAATGCGCCATCCCAAATCGTGGTGCCCGCCGGCAGGAAGCGGCGGGGGCCCCAGACTTCCCTTCCGCATTAACAGGGTTCCCCCCCCCCCCCCCGGCCTGGCCGACGGAGGGCTTTTTCAATTGGACGTGGAGAGCCTCAATTAAAAGTGTGGCGAAGCTGGCAAAGGAGGAAACACGGAGCCACTCGCGGCCTGGCCGGAGGAGCCTCCCGTCCCCACCCTAGCCGCGCGTCCCCCCCCCCCCCGGCACCCCGAAAGTGCTGCCTTCCTCCCCTGGCCGGCCGGCGGGCTCTCCCGTCCGCGGGGTTCGCTGGGCAGCCGGACGGGCGGCGCGCTGTGCACACCGCACACCCACCGGGCCCTTCCCACTTGGTTTATCGCTTCTCCCCCACAAAGCACCAAGTCGGACGTGCTCCCCCTCGCTCCCCAAAGCTGGGTCTCATCCCAGCGCGCGGATGGCTTCACGCGCGGCCGCGGCCACGTGCAGGGAACTGAGCTTCGCTCCCCGGCCGGGCGCCTCCCCGCCACCGGCACCGTCTCTAGTGACGCGGCAGGCCAGTCCCGCTCTGGGGCCCCGGACCGCTGGGGCCTGCGGGGCGCCGGCACCTGGCGGGTCCCCAGGCCTAGGGGCCGGGCCGGGGTGAGGTAGCGGGGGCGGGGGGGGGGGGGGAGTTGCGGAAAGGACTCCGAGAAAAACCAGAGCTCGCGTCTGCGAAATGGCCTCGCTCCCTGCTTCTGAGGTCCCGGCACCAGGGGGCACCAGAAACCGCCCGAGTCGCGCAGGGCCCACGCGGCCCGGAGGCTGCCTTGTCATTTTAAGTGTAAAACCCCCCAGAAGAAGCACTCCCTGGAATCCTCCCCACACCCTTCCACCTGTGGAAGCCCTGCCAGGCATCCTCGAGTCCCGAGGCTCCCACCCCCCGCGCCTCCGCCCTGCTCCTCCTCTTCCCACTTCACCTGCGGCGGTTTCTTGGCAACCTGCTTTTTAGACGCCTTCTTCCCCCCTCTTCACCCCGACAGCCTGGCAGCGGGGTGAGCGCTCGCGCCACCGGTCCCCCCCCCCCCCCCCACCGGCCCGCACCTCCGCGAGCTGTCAGGTTGGGAGGTTTGTTTGGGCTTTGCCTTCAAGAGCCAGGCCTCCGGGAGCCCGCTACAAATTCGGGGGTGGGGGAGGTCCTTTTGGGGGAGTTAGTAAGGACAGAAATGACCAAAGGAGCCACTGTACTGGACGGATGGAGGCCTTAATCCCCTATAACTGCCCAGGGAGGGGGGAAAGAGGCATGTTTCTGAAAAGCAAGTTTGGGGGTGGGGGGCGTCTGTCTGATTAGAGAGCCCCAGGCCCCAGAGTGCTGCAATGTCTTGCAGGGGTGGGCTAGGGAGTCAGCCCACTTCCTGGACACTTGACACTTGTCACTCGCTGCAAAGGCGACACCTCCCCACCCCCGCCCCATAACCAAAGGGAACGCACGGGGAACCCGCACCGGCGGAAAGCCGGGCACGGCCCCCGCCTCGAGGGCTTTGCCCGAGGGGAGAAGTTGTATTTCTTTCGGGAAATGCATCCATAATTCAGACTACGGCAGGCGCGTCCAGCCGAGCGCTCCCAGGGGCTGGGATTGTGGCCTGGGTCCGGGGCAGCTCGGAGCTGGGGAGCCTCCCGGGGTGGGCGCTCCCGTTCTGATTCTGCCCCAGGCCGGGGGGGGGGGTGCAACAATAAGCCAGGGCACCAGGGGCCTGGGGGTGGGGCTCGGGGAAGTCCTTCCCCGCCCGGAGTCGGGGGCCCTTTTCACTGGGTGAAGACTGGACATCCACCTATACGCAATCAGTGGGGGGGGGTCTCAACGGTCGATGGAGCCCCCCCACCCTCACCTCCACAGGAATGGGGGCGCTGGTAAAAAGGCAAAGCAATCGGGCTTGACCAAGACGGAAACGGAGCAAAGCCTGGCCGGGAGGAGGTGCGCCCCACTTGGAGGTTCTCAGTCCCTTCGCATGGTCCCTTGCCCGGTGGCCTGAGTTTCCTCTCCCATCACACCCAGAGGAGCGTGGTTAGCAATGACGGTCATTTCTCTGCCTGATCCAAGATGACCCTTTAGGGACTGGCCGAGACGGGGAGAGAGGGACCTGCCCCCCTCGGGCGCTCAAGGATCCAAGGCTCCCAAGAACTCCACGGATCTTTGCCCATGTGGAAAAGGCTCCGCGGAAAGGCCAGCCTGTCCCCCGCGTTTCCACTGGGCTCTCTCCTTCGTCCTCCCGGAGGCTCGCAGCCTTCGCAGCCCCGCGGCCCGCCCTGGGGTCAAGGCCGTGCCCCCTGCCCTGGACGCCCCGCAGCAGCTCCCCTCCTTACCTCGGATCTGGTCTCCGCAGACCCCCAGTTGGACATTAACTCCAGGTGGCCCGAGTCCTAGCCAGGAGACCCATCCGGGCCGGGGGCAGGAGCGCAGCGCCCCCCCCAGCAGGTCAGGGGCGAGAGTTTCCAATCGTGGGCTGGCACCGGGCGGCGAGGGCAAGCAGGAGGCGGCGGCCAAGGTTCCCGCCGCCGCCGCCGCCGCCGCGCGCAGGGCGAGGGCCGCCGACACGTCCCCCGCCGGCCTCGGGTCCCCCCAGCCGCCCCGGCCTGGGGTGCGCGGTGACAGGGCTGCGCGCGCCGCGCTCGCTCGGGGCTGGGGCTGCCAGCGGCTCAGCGGGGGCCGCGGCACCCTGCGCCTCCTCGGGGCGCAGCGGCGGCGACTGCGAGACGGGCCTGTCTAACGCCGGCGCGGGAGCCGAGGTCTGGCCTGGAGATCCGAACGAAGCACCACGTCAACTCGCGCGGGCTGTCCCTTGAAGACATGAGGGCGCCAGGAGCGCAGGGCTGGTCGCCGGGAGCCCGGGCCGGGGGGCCGGGACGGGGAGGGGGGTGGAGGGGAGGCGCGGGGGGCCCCGGGAGGGGAGGGGTCTCGAGGCCTCGGCGGGCTTAGCCGCGAGGAGGCGCCGGAACTCCCGAAGTGGTTGGTGGGGGGGGGGCGCGGGGTGAGAGTGGGTGACGCGAGGCGCCTCTCCCGGGGTGCAGGGAGAGAGATGGGCGCGTGGAGACGCCGCCGCCGCCGCCGCCGCCGCCGCCGGGCAGATCGGGAGGAACGCGCGCGGCTCTGATCAGCCCAACCCGAGGGGGCGACCCGAACTTGGTGTCTGCGCCCCGCGCTTGCAGGCAGGGCTCCGTGCGGGGTGCAGGGCTGCGGCGGGCTTTCTTCGTGCCTGTCGAAGGCGGTCCTTCCCCTTCTGGTGTCGCGCCCTCTGGCTTTTGTGCAGGGCAGCAGGCAGCGGGAGAAGAGGAGCTGCGGGCCGGAGTTCTCCAAGCACCCAAAAGGAAAGATGCGGAGCAGAGCGGCCCGGGGAGGGGAAGCCCAGTGTTTGCCAGGAGACGCGGGAGTGGGGATGCATTTATAGGGCCCCGGCTCCGTGACGTGCCCTCCAGTGGCTTTTCTGATTCGCTTTCTGACCTAAACACACATTAGTTTAGTCCTCATGCTAGGGCCAACACGGTCTCCAAATATCTGCTGGCTGAAGTCAGAGGCTTTGCATATCATGTATTACATGGCCGGCAATGAAGAAGGCTTCTGAGGCTGGCCGGCTTCGCAGTCCTAGGCTCCATTTTCATGCTGTTGTAATACAACACCAGACGTGGGGTAGGCACATACATTCGAAATCCCAATTCCAGGCAAGTAAGATCACTTTGCATCAAGAACTCAGGAGAGGTGGGGCAAAAGCTGCTTTTTTCCCCCCTTTTAAATCCAGCCCTCTGCAACTACAGATGAGAGGGTTTTAACCAAGCACCCCTTGTTGGGTCCCCGGTTTCCAGCGAGAAGGGACCCAGCTCCCATTCCAGAGCGAGCGGGAGAGGGGAGGCCTCTTCGGCATTCCCTTTGTTGGTTAGCTCACCAAGAGAAGCAGCCAGCAGCCTTTTGGAAAAGGACACGGAGGAGGTCGAGTCTCCACACACCCTGTGCATGGCTTTCACCATAAATAGGTTCCATCCATACAAGACATGGGGTTCACTCTACCTTTGAAATATTGTACCAATTAAGGTATGTCTTTGCTACACAGAAACCTTTTTGCCAATGGACCCGAATCCAGTGGGACCTCTTATATTTCATTGATGGGGGACGAGGAAAGCATACATGGGCTCAGTTCACATCCCCGTGCTGCTTCTTTTATGACTCATTGTGTTGTTGAGTGTGTGTTCTTTAAGCAGCTGATACAGACAATAGACCCGGGAGATGTGTGTGTGTGGCAATGTGTGTGGTGGTGGTGGTGGGGGAAGGTGGCATGTGTGTGGAGATCACATATTAAATTTCTTAAAAGTCAGAGATCAGCTACTTTGGAGGTTTGTCTGTGAAGTTAGTGTAGGCGGAAAATTGTTCTTACTAACATTAGTGTGACTTAAGATCAAGCAAAGTGAAAGCCAAGCCATCCAAACATATCTTACCTGAACTCAGGATGCTGTCTGCAATCTGCAGAATGTGACATTTCCTTTAGCATATGCATGGTAGCACTGTAGACGGATATGGAAATGGAAGGACAGAATAAACTTGATGTATTTATCCCACTTAGCTCTGTTTTGGGATTCTGAAGATGACTGGAATCTGTTTTTATTATGAGTGATTTTCTTCATAAGGCTTTTTCACTGGGGATGGCCAGGCTGCCTAAGTTTCTGACCTTATTTAGCACTTGCTGTGTGCCCGACCTTGAGAATTAGGAGGATCCGACTTTTGGGGCCCACAAGGATCAGACACCACCAAGTTAACCCGGAGTGATGGAAGTTTACTGTGGAAGGAAGACTGACCGGAATCTCCACCACTCAGCCACGTGGCTCCGAAAAGCCTTCCGGAAAGGCCGCGCAGCCAGGCCTCACGAAAACTGGATTGAAGTTCAGGAACTGGAAGGTCATTCAGGATACAACTCTGGGGCTGGGTTATCTTGCTGCCCCCTCAGCAGCAGGCATCTGCCGGTCCCTACCAACAGGCTTAGCCGCCAGGGTAATTCAGCTCCTCTCCCTCCTTGTTTTTCTCCGGGTGTCCTTTGGCTCCTGCTACCAACTGCTCAGTTCTCTGTTGATCTCACATTTAAAGTCCTTTAGTGAAAGGATCTAATCAGCCCCTCTGGGCACTCAGCAAGTACTTGAGCTCGACTGGCTGGTCACCTGTTAGACTGGCAGATCTTAGCTCAGATGTGATTCCCAGGCCATCATTTGTGTCCAAGTGGTTGGCATCTCAGGGAATAAAGCCTGGTCCCTTTTACTAAGGGAATTTCCTAAGGTTTCTTTCTACCTTCTCTTCAGAGTAGCTGCTCTTTGAGGAAGGAGCTGTGTTAATCAGGTACTTTGGTTTTAGAAGCCCCATGCCCACGAAAAGACTCTGATAAATAAGATATGACCCCTAAGCCTTTGTAAGCCTACCTAGGAGAGGGAGTCATGTGCATGGGTGAGGCTGTTGTGGCATAAAAATTATAACTGATGAATACATGAGGTGTTCATGTGCTGGAGTGTTGTCTTCATGTGGTTTGTAAAACCCTGGGGAGATGACAAAAATACCCAGATCCAGGGCCTCCCCAGGGTAATTAAGTCAGCATCTCTGCTGAGGTGGAGCCTAGGAGGCGATTATTTTAGGGCAGCACTAGAATTTGAACTCAGGCCTGCACACTTGCTAGGTAAGCACTTTTATCATAAGTCATACCCTCAAACCTTTCTGCTTTCTTTGTTTGTTTGTTTCGGGTAGGGTTTTCTGCTATACTCAAGTAGGTCTCAGGCCTTTATTCTCCTATCTCTGCCTCCCAAGTAGCTGATTACACTGTGTGCCAACAGGAGGGGTGGTTTGTAAATGCCCCCTAACTTCATCATAAGCTTTTCAATGGTTGCAGTCATCTTACATAATCTGAGAGTATTTTGATAGATTCTTGGACTAAGACTATTACAGAAAGCAAATATTTGTGATTTTTGAAAAAGCACACATGCACATAAATGCAGAACAAATTCCTTCTGCAATGAACACCTGATATGTAGGGAAGCAAGAAATATACATTGGATGTCCTGGAGACAAGGGATGGTCCCATATCTCAACCTTGACACCTTAAGAAGCTGAAAATATTGGGAGGGGGCACAGCTCTGTGATGCTATCTTCTGAAGGTCACAGAAATAGGTTGTATTTGAAGCTACTTCTCAGCAAAGTCCAAAAACAAACCATTTTTTTTTTTAAAGCATTGCTTTAGCTTTTAATAGTAGAGCATCTTCTGATAAAATGACAAGGACAGCTATGAATTCCTATGGAATTGATCCCAAGTCTCAACTTTCATGTAGTGAATCTTGCCTAGAAGGGCAGAGGGAATAAGGTGGTTTAGGCATCCCGCCTCTTCTTTGAGGAGAATAGTTTGAAGTTCTGTTGTGTCCTATTCTATTTATCTTCAATGGTATCTCTCATACATCTCTAGCTGAAAAATGTCTAAGTAAGAGGTATGGTTTGTACAGCATCTTTATAAGAAAATAAAACTATAAAAAAATATGATCTGTGCTGTAGGATCTTACAATCCCTAAGAGAAGAAAATACAAACATAGATGACAAAAAAAAAACAAAAACCCAAACAAACCTTAGTGTTGCATAATGCTGTGGAACTTGAAGTAGACCAGGATTAGGGTAGGTACACGAGAGGAGTATGGGAGGCATTTCCCAGGCCAGCCCAATGGCTGGCAAAGGGGGCACTCGCAGGCAATGTGTATACCTTCTTGCTCAGCATCTGTGGCCCCAGAGAGCTGCAGCCTGTCGAGAGGGAGGGGTGAGTGGGTCAGCCTGTGGCCTTAGAGTCCTATATGGGTCTCTGAGGGCCTTTGCAGCTGCTGGGCCTATGAAAGCAGGACCCGAGTCCCTGGACTCCTTCACGACTTGGGTCACGACAGCTGAAATGGAACCCATCACTTAAGCAGGGCAATTTCCTTTTCAAAGTCACTGCTTTATTGGACAGGGATTTGTTCCATGCTTGCTCATTCTTTAACAGCCATTTTCACCAATGACACCATTACTTATGGAGAAAAGATAAATTTGCCTTCAGACCACTTTAAAAAGGGACAAGGATGGGGGAAAAGGGAAGGAGAAAAAGGCACTGTAATGGCCTTTTTGCAAAGTAATGACATGAGACAAATCCTTTAGAACAAAGTGTTTTTCATAATTAATCCAGACCTTGGCAAGGTAGAGGTATCAATGATTTTGTAGTAGTTTCTTTGATAAGCATTGTCAAATGATCCATTAATCTTGAATTTTTTTGTTCTTGCAACTATTTAATGCGGTTTCTCATAAAAATCTTTGAAATAAAACTTTGATCAGGTTGGAATTTTACAGTAGACTTTGTTATTATGCAAATGATTTAATCAAACTATGAGATTTGAGTGCCCAGAGGGGCCAAAGACTTCTAAGCTACTCTCCTTATTTTACCAGGAGAGGAAATGGAGGCAGAGAGTGGTTCAGTGACTTATTCAAGGTCAGTCTTTGAGTAAATGACACGCAGCTAGCATACGTGGGATGAAAGTGCTTTAATGGTGGTGGTGGTGGTGTGTGTGTCTG